AGAGAGTTAAAGCGTGTCTTCTCCTCCCAAGTACGGACATACCAACATGCACCTCACATCACGGCCCGGAAAGATAAATTTCCACAGATAGATGCCGCAGAAATATAGCCTCCTTCATCCCATCAGACATCGCCACGTACTCCGCTTCCGTCGAAGTCAGGGTGACGCTCTTCTACGTCCTACACAGATACATCACACACGCACCAGCGAACATCACTAGTGCCCCAGAAACAGACCGCCGGTCGGTTGCCTTGTTGGCGAAGTCCGAATCGACAAAAAGTTCCATGTGGTCTCCTCCCACCGTGCCCCTCTGNTACATCAAAACATGCAAAGCCGCCTCCCAGTGCAGTCGCTTCGGCGCGTGCGAATACCCGCAACGGCACGCACCGCGTTGAGAATATCCGGGCGAGTCTGATTCGCCAGCCACATCGAGTGTCCCACTAGCGACCGGGAAGGCTCGTCGACATCGGGCTCGTCGGCGTCGTACTGCTCAAGCTTCAATCCAACGACCATAGGTTGGTGTCTCTTTGTCCGTCGTCACACCGAACTTGGCAACGATCTTCTCCGCTACAGCCTGTTGCCAAATAGTCACCGTCCCCAACACCGTGTCACGAGAAAATCGGCAACAACCCGCATACCATCGCAGTTCCCCCAAGGTTGGAATTTGGCACATACCGGTTGAGGTCAACACCACACTGATCGCACCTGCTCTTGAGCCCGATAGAGAAGATGTCGTCTACGTGGATCACAACCACCATGGTGACTACACCGCTCTCGATCAGACGCATCACACACGCATCGGCGGCACAAGGCTCGAAACCAAGACTCTTCATGCCACGCATCAAGAGATGATGCTATGTGCGGGACGCCTGCTTCAGACCGTATAGACTCCGTCTCAACCGTATGACCTTACCGGAAATCGCACCGCACCCAGGGGGAAGACGAATGAACACAACCTCATCCAGTTTTGATTGGACAAAGGCTTGCTCGGCATCGAAATGGCACAAGTCCCAATCTAACACACAGGCAATGGCGACTAGCAATCGAACGCTCGTGATGGAAGGACACCGGGAGAAAGTCTTAAAGAAGTCAACACCCTCACGCGGCGCGAACCCACGGGCTACCAACCTAGCCTTAGCACGCACAGCATACCCAAACTCGTCTCCCTTCCATGAATACACCCACTTGGCGGAGATGACGTTCGTCCCTCGCTGCTATTCCGCCCCGACCTCCTCGAAGGTGCCCACTGCATTCAGCCCGAAAAACTCCTTGCGTTCGGCATTGGTCCAGATGTGGTGGTGGGGCCCGCGTGCGCCTCCCCGTATGTCTCAGGCGTCTCCAGGTCGCACACCAGCCCCGTCGGCAGGGCTGGCTCAGCGACGCCCGGTGCAGGAAGCTCGGCGATAGACCGCTTGATCTCGTCCTCCGTGGCTAGAAGAGCAAATATCCCCGGCCCCGGCCCATCTCGCTTCGCCCGCGACCTCGTCACTGCGGGGGTCGCTACAAACTCCCGCTGCCCCTGCCGACGACGTCCGCCTGTACCGCCCTCATGCACCATCTCCGTCCACAGTCCGTCCGATGCCATCGCCGCCGAGTGCGCGGGGGCAGGTGTGGCAACAGGTGCCGCAGATGTGCTCACCCGCGAAGGCCCCCCCGCCATCCGCGCAAGTTCCGCCAACACCGCGCTGCGCGCTGCTCCGCTCTCCACCCTGCGCTCCGGCTATGTCATATGCTCATGCTGCCGCTGCTCCGTCGCCGCCGGAGCTGCCTCCGATGCTGCCGCTCCGGTCGCCACTGCGGGGACCCCGGCCATCCCCCCCGCAGCCGCCGCGGGGGGAAAACTGCCACCGGAGATCGCCGCCGTCGCCGCTGGAGCTGCCGCCGATGCTGCCGCTCCGGCCGCCACCGCGGGGCCTCCGGCCATCCCCAAACACAATATATTGTGTTTGGGTGCTATTGTGTTTGGGTGCGGTAGCTCGTCAGAGGCCGAAAGAGAAAGAAAGTTGACTCAAGACCTTGTTGCTTAGAGAGTAAGAGACATGCGGTAGGCCACACCATCGCCATGCAGCATGTCTGTCAATACATTCCATCCGCGTACCCCCCGGAGGCCCCGTAGACAGTATACTCTGCCGNATTCTCTGCCGAGCACCCCAAACAAAATACACGAAAAGTGTAGTACTCTACATACGCTGAAAAAGTGTAGTAGTCTACACGTTTCACAACGAGAAATGGGGGGACTGTCGCCAAAATAAATAGGACGAAAACAACCCACAACACACACCGTGTAAATCCAGAAATATGCGGGAATTCCCGCCTTTCGAGTTGTTTGAAAGCGGTGGCGAGTTGTTTGTTCGTTTTTTTCGACGCGGGAATCCCCGTCGTCCTGGCGTGTGCTTTCGTATGAAGAGTGAATAGACTATTTGGTGCTCCAACACAAATACAATAATTCCCGCGGCAGAACTTTGTGACAGAGAGGAACCAGACAGCCAGCGTCCTTTTACATGAATGAAGCAGGAGAGCGACAACAACAACAACCCGCCTCTCTCTCTGTTTGCCACACCAAGTCTCAGGGAACGCAACATGAATGAGCGTAAAGCTATCACCAGCCGCACGACAGGCACAATGTTGCACTATGTGGCTGTCTGTGCGGGTGCTTGGGTGCACACCTAGCAGCGCGCTGGGGCGCAAGATGCATGCGTAGTTTCCCCCGTGCGCAGTCAGTCAGTCGTGTTACTGCATCGCCTTTCTTGCAAGAAGACCTGAAACACCCCACACAAAGACCTGAAGTAAATGCACTCACTTGCCGTAACACCTTTCAAGCTCGAACCCGTTCGTTGGAGTTTGCATTACTTCCACTCCATTCCATTACTCGGTGGAGCGTGGGCATGTGTGTGCTGCTTCGATCAACTGGGCACGGCGTGGACATACATTCACTCTGGGCCTTTGATTACGAAAACGGAGTCAGTTGCTGTGGCGTGTAGACTTCTGCTGCTGCTGCTGCTATTCACAAGCAAGCGCGAAGTCAATAAATAACGAGGAAGAGCCAGAGCACAGAGCCGCTACAGCTTATTCTCCTCTTGCTTCTTGTCGTTTTATCAGCACACCACTGCCCCCACGCTGCAGGGATAGTTAGCAGTGAGTGGTAGGATGCCATGCAGCAGTTTTCAGCGCGAAAGGTGGTCTGTCGAGTAAGAAATCCAAAGCTAAATTAGCCGTGCCCTCTGAATCACTCTCAACCCCGTGCCACAACGGCTGCAAGTACATACATATATATGAGATGCGTGTTTCAGCTGTGTTTTTTTTTTCGTACCCGAGACAATGGCGAGTGCGCTTGTGCGCGACATCAGGTAATCGTGTTGCTAGGGTAGTCTAAGCCTTTCTAACACGACGAACCACCTACTACCCAGCACGTTCCTTCTACACCATCCTGGCACAACATAGAGATGCACAAGATGGCTACCAAACTGTCTTGTCGAGCCTGTTACCCGCTCGGGAAATCGTGGAAACACAGAGAGCCTTCGCTGACGCTATGGATTCATTTCTAATCTATCTTAGACTCTTGCCTTAGATGGATGAGTCATCTGTGGCACTTCCAATACCCTATAGAACACGCCTATGATTGGATCGTTGGGTCATGATTAGAAGGAAAAAAAAATGTCTTCTGGTTACGTGAGGCAGCCAGACAGGATATAACCCCCTGCTGTTGGGTCGCGCATCTGAGCCCAGCTGCGTCCCCCCCCCAATTCCACCGCCTCGGCCCTGTCTTCTGTCGACCTTCCTCTGGGCTTGCACCTTGCAGTGCGCCATACAACAAAGAGAGAGGGAATTGGAAACAGAAACTGGACGCAAGCAGAGCTATGTCGCATTGGTGGCGCAAAATCCAGCAAGCCCTCCCAAAGCCGGGCTCCCTGAAGAGAAAGGCACGTGGAAACTCGTTGTTCCTTGAGAAGAAGTACGGCGAAGTTGCTGCCCGCAAGGACGCCAAGGATGTCCGCAACGCAGTCAGGAACACTGTCAAGAAGAGCGCCAGCTATGGGAAGTCGGCAAGGGACCGAGCAAAGGATGCAAGTTCAAGAGTTGGCAAGCAGTTTGTGGAAACTGCGAGATCGATCCCATCGAAGGCCGCAGAGGTACGAGTCAGTCGCCGAATGCAACGATGCTTCCTGCACCTTCTTCCGCGGCAGGTTCAGCCCTCCCCGTCTGACCCTCAGACTTACAATCTTGCAAAGTCATGCCGTACGAGGGCCGTAAACACATCTTCGTTGGGGTTTAATGGTTTTCGGTTGGGCATTCACCCTCGTCGAGGGCGGCAACACTTGGCACTTGGCTGGCACTAACCGCGAAGGCGACGGTTGAGCCCCTCTTTCAGCAGGTGTTCATGATGCATGTGTGTGTTCCTCCACCTGGTCACCTGGTATCCAAGTGGGAGCCGTAGCGATCTTCGCATCAGCGCTCACAGCGTTTGTGCCGTTTACTGCGACCCATGGTCACACGAAAGGATTCCTCTCCCTGGGGACCCCTACCCACCCCTACCGCGGTGCTTTGCGATTATTTTTCCGAGAAGAGTGGGGCACCTTCTTCCCTCTGTGTACACACGAACATGTAGCGCTTGCCACCCAGGTCAGGAACGGAAGCGAGGGAAAAACACATTTTGCAAGAAAAGCACACTTGCCACCCCTCGATCGAAGACGGACAGCATCCGCGGTTAACTCGGGAGAAACTCCCCGCACAGGGCACAGGGGGTGATGATGACAAGCAGCATCCGGCATATGACACGCCATCTCAAACGTTCTACTTCTACTTACTCGTTGGCATGCTCACATCTGCTGCTCAAGAAGTGGGCTATGCGGATTGTCGTCTGAAGCTCCAGTCTCATTGGGTCGTTAAGGGATCCTCCGCGTTAGGGACCCCCCGCGCTCCCCTAATAAGGGACCCCCGCGCTCCCCTAATATTTCCAGAGGGGGGGCGGCGCCTTAGGGAACCTTTCACCACAGAATGCCAGCAGAAGCTCAGCATCACGGAACAACATCACGCTGAACAGTTACGGGACCTCAACCAAAAGAGTCTTTGGAGTGTTGTGTGTGTGTGTGTTTTCATCCTAATTATTTTGGCCACCGTCCCTCCATGTTTCGTGGTGAGACGCGCACTACGCTCTTCTAGTCTATACTTCCTCTGTATCATAAGTTAGGGTACCTAAATTTGTACGGGCCCTTGTCCGTGTCCGATCTGTTTTTCGATTTTTTTGTTGAAATCTTCGTAGTTTTTTTAGCAAGAAACGTTTATTTTTATTTTTATGCATGCGCCACCCCGCGTGCATGAGCGCCCGCGAAAAAACCAGTCGGCCTGAAAAAGGCCGTATTTTGCATGTATTCTGCCCCCTCCGACCAGGCGACCAGGCGGGGGGGGCGGGGCAATGACAAAAACAAGGCAAAAATACCAAGAATTATCCCTGACCCTAAACCTAGCCTCCCCTCTACTCAACGATCCATGACGCGTCCCCCATACTAAAAGCATCATAATAGTGGCCCCCACACTGAAAACAAGACACTTGGGGGGACCACACTAAAACCAAGACACTTGCGGGGCAAAGCAAGCAACAGTAGGTCCCTCATCCAACCCCCCCCTCTACTCAACGATCCATGTCGCGCCTCCTATAATAAAAGCAGTATAGTAGTGAGCCACACTAAAACCAAGACACTTGGGGGTCACACACTAAAATCAAGACACTTGGACGGGTACTTCTTTCCGACACCGTAGCGTTCGCAGATCGGGTCAAGCACGCCCTTGGGAATCGTTGACAACCCCGGCTGAATGCCCATCGCAATTCTACCGCCATGGCATAGCGCCTACCAACCGATAACTCGGTGCCCCTTTTGCGAGGTGGTGTGCTGGGGGGCGATTCCATCGCTAGAGTGAGTAGTGGGCCGGTAGGGTACTAATATCAGATGGTTTTGAGATTTTTTTCGAGAATTCTCAAAAACAATCCCATAATATTTTCTCAAAAATATTCCCAAAACAGGCCAAAATAGGGTATATTTTGACCGATATTAGGTACAGAGATAGATGTTCGTTTTGTTATTTTATTTTTTCTATCGCTTCTTCTTTGTTATATCTTTCTTACAAACCCGACTATGCCACCATCACTAACACGGTTGCACCCAGACAATCTATTGCATTTAGGTACCCTAACTTATGATACAGAGGAAGTATACGCTTTTCAGTGTATGAGTCTACACCTTTCATTGTATTTTTTTGTACAACTACACCCATCCAGGGTCACACAGAAGGGGGTAAACACCAGGACTATTCTTCTTGTTATTATTTTTTCGAACCCACCTTCCTCGTGGGGTGCGTGCTGAATTTTCTGATATCTCGCGAGAGGGTTCAGCCGTCCCTTTCCCTCGTCGACGGTGCTTACGTCGAAGTTTGGTAGTCACGAGAGCTTTTCCAGCTGTGTTTCGCTTTCACCCGCAAATTTTGTAAATTTATTCACCCCATGAGGATTCGGACTCACTACCTTGGCGACTAAATAGCGGTTTCGAGTTTACCACTAGGCGACCGGGGCGACCGGTCTCGTGCAACAAGATGTTGGCTTGGGGAACCTCAACCCAAGACCTTAAATTGACTCTACCCAACCGTAATTCAGAGGTTGCCCTATTGCAGAGATTGTATCAGTTCAAACGCATCTGAGTTTGGGTTGAAATTCCATGACGCAGAGCTTGTGTTGGACAGTTTCGCACAACGTATTTTGGTTGGAATTTCCCAATGCAGAACATGTCCGAGTAAGTTTGAGGTCAAGGATCCGTAGTGCAAAGGTTGTGTTGCATGAATCGATGTGAATATATGACAGCCATCACTGACGTAACCTAATGCAAAGACTACCCTGGGAGTGTTTCCGGGTGAGATTGCCCGACAACTTCATGGGGGGAGAACCTAGATCTCTTGATTTATGCAGAGATCCAAAGAATGCGCTCTACGTTAGTCTCCGATCCTGACCTCGAGGGACGGCGTGAATGTCGCGGTACTGGAAGTATGCCTCGGTATGGAATCCCGAACCATGGAGACTCCCCGAGATTCAGCGGCTTCCGCCCTCTATAACGGACACGACTTCGAGCAGCGATTGAAGAGACAAGGAGAGTCCGTTTCTCCGCACAGAATATGCATCAGTTCACGAACATTCTTGAGGCCAGGCAAAAACATGTATTCTGTGCGACAGCAATCCTGCATCTCTAGATTAGAGGTATCGAGGGCTTGCTAGCGTAGCAATGCCCATCTCCCTCGGAGAGCGGTGTTTTTGTTGTTTTCGAGGTCGCGTCTATCTTACAAGTTGATTTGTCGCGGCCTCTTAGCCATTCCCTCGAACCCGACGGCGCACATCTGAGAACGTCTATGTACCTCCTCCCTGTGTTTCAATATCGATGGATTCGTCCGCCGTTCAGTCGTCCACCGCCATCACCCTTGCCACTACCACATACTGTAGACTTTTCTTTTGTCGCGTAGCTTACCTGCAGGGGCAAGGCTGCAGCATTTGTTTCCATCCATTGTGATGTCTGAAAGTTTTCGATTCTGCTATCTTTCAAATATCGCCGGCGCCAGCTCCCTCTGTACCCTTGCTATGTTTTCGCGATAAGCACACCACCACTACATGAAGAGTTCGCCGCCGTCTCCGAACAAGAACTTGTGCGCGTTATTTCGCGAGAGGCTCGCGGTCTACAAGGGGACTAGCAATGCAAACCTTCTTAGATACGACCAAAATCGAAGCGCGTGTTAGCACCCAATCGGTGTGTACAGTTGAGGGTTGTCTGCGCAGTCTAGGTATAGCACCTCACCCAGCGCACATTGGTAACTTTGAAACAGGCAGCGAAGGATGCGGCTACAGGCGCTGTGGTGGCCGGTGGTACGGCTTCAAAGAAGATCGCGTCGGCGGGGGCGCAATCTGCCCGTGACATCGGTAAATTGGCTACCAACAAGCTGTGGGACGCTGCGCCCAAGGTCGCCAGCTACGCCACCTGGACCGCACGGCGAATAGTCTTGCTGCTCCTCGGAACAGCATTCCTGTATGGCGTGGGGTCGGGACTTCCTGGAGCGGTAGCACGGTACTTCACGGAGAAGGATAGACGGCGTTACGAAGAAGAGCGGCTGAAAAGCCGAAGGGCGGACGGAGAGTGGTCTCCATCATCGTCGGCAACAGCAATGGACGTGGACGGGACGGCTGTCGTAGAAGCAGCCGGGCAAACATCCTCGTTGTTTATCTTGGAAATCGAACGGTGGTTGAGGAAAAGATAGCACCTATTTCTCCGATGCGAAGGTGTCGCAATTTGTTTATATCGTGCATCTCCCGGTTCAGGCGCGAGAGTTTTTTCGCGCTGCCTCAGTCTGAGGTGCTGCCGGAATATCCAGTGAAAAGCCCAAGTGCCTCCCTTTCGGACATGCTGGGACTCTCGGCATGGCTACGATATGCATCGAGTCGGTATCCTATCGCGTGTCGCGTCGCAGCGAAACAGTGAATCGGTTTGGTGTGGTCGTCGCAGAACTCGACTGGACGTGCGCTTTGAGACTCTTTTCTTTTCCATCGACACTGAGAACCTCTGGAGTCCGAGCATGCTTAATTGTCGCCAACCGACGTCCAAGAATGAAACGTTTTTTGGGAAGCGACTGGATGAATCCGGCTTCTCGAGGGCACGCAAGCAAGGGCTAATACGGCATCTGGCACTATTTTCTTGATATGGCGCGGTGCGCCTCTGCTGCTCTTGGCGGCATTGGCGGGGCTCAGGGCTGCTGGCTTCAGAAAGAACGCGTGTCTTTTACAATATCTTGTATGTCGCCTCGAGACAACGGGCGTTGCGGTTCCATGTTCTATATGTCGATACACATTGTGTGGCCTTAAATCTGCCAAACGATAACACTGCTTCGCGTCTCGACTTGAACTCTTCATTCGGGACCAAGCAAAGACCGCGTACAATTACCGTGCCTTTCTCTGTCGGCAGGTTACTCTGCCCAATAAAAAAAGAGGGGCTGGCACAAGTAGCAATGGTAACCATATACATCCAAAATCTTGTCCGAAATGTTGGACCGTCCACAAACACTAATGTATGCCTTGCCGACCACGCGTGTGGCTCGTCCACGAAAGGGCTGCTACTGATGCTACAATCGACATGGCTTCCGCCAATTAGATCCAAGGATAGCTCAAAGCATGCCCCCGAAGTTACCACAACAATCATAGTCAAAAGGCCCAGACTGCCTGGGCGACGCGATGCAAGGCTATGGCCCGACGACTACAGCGTAGTCCAGATATCGACCGATTTCAAACCGAAATATGCACATGTTCACACTTTCCAACAACAATTGAACTCGAACACAAAAACTTTAGGACCTCCTCGCAATTTCTCGACAGGACTTGAAGACCGCTGGCCCCGGATGGCTAGCAAACCATGAATTCCCACAATTTTCCCAGTATCAAGGGTAACGTTTGCGGGCATTTCGCGGATCCAGCATTCCATCGCTGCGTCACCGTCACCCACGCAACAGCCAGTTTCGGCTCCGACGGAGGTCTGCGAATTTGCGCGAATTCTCGCCAGCTTCTCGCCAGTGTTCCGTGCTCTTTGCTGGTTCGTAACATTAACGCAACGCGACCAACTTCAACGATAGATTCTTTCAACTCAGAAAGCATTTTTCATTCTTCGGATCTTGCCCAAGACCGCGGCGGTCGTCGCTCCATCTCCGAGCCCTGTCCGAGCTTGAATCGATGGTTCATGCGCTCGCATGAAGGGGTTAGTTGCGAGCTCCTTCGCAATTGTTGACGGCACGGTGTGCTCGCCGTTGCGGAGGCGTTCTGATGCAGCGGCAACCTCTCGCTTTAGAACTTCGTTCTCCGGGTCTAAACTCTGGGCGAACAAGTAGTTGCTCGAAGTGTACTGGCGGGGAATGCAAACGAGGGAAAAGGGCGGTGCGGATGGTTGACGAGACCGATGAGACACCGGGCGGAGTGTAGCATGCTACAGTACTTGAATGGTGTCGGTGCGGCTACCCTGGGTTATGTTGTGGCGCCCATGACGGCCGTCCTTTCCCCAAAGCTGAAGCGGCGTTCGAGCGGCAGAATAAACGCGTGTCGCCGAGAGACCGCCGCATCTCGTTAGTGAGTCACCCCAAACCTACAGAACTCTTTTAGCTCACCTGCTTTGACAAGTACTTAGCCGACATAATAGAACCGCGGAACGAGGTGCCAAAATAGAGACCAGAATGGACGGCTGATTTAAGGCGGGAGTCTCGCATAAACCTTCATAGAAAATACTTCTATACTGTTTGACTAGCACAATCGCTGACGCGTTGCCGTTAAGATATCAAACTTCCAAGGATCGAAAACATGACGCTCCGTTCATAAGTACACGACAACAGTGATACTTGTCAGCGGTGATAAACTGCTGTACCTCACCTCGTGCCCACAGTACACAAGCGTTTCGGGAGGAAGTTTTCCGAGCTTGCCGCAGAGCGAGTGCTGCATCTCCTCCGGCGTACCCTCGAAGAACCTTCCCGCGCCGCCCACGAATAGAGTGTCGCCCGTAAAGACGGCCTTCTGCTCGCCCTCCGTCGCGTAGTAGCAGATGTGACCCATGGTGTGCCTTTCAGGAAAAATCATGCCACGCACCGTAATCGTGACACAACAAACGAACAGGCACATGGGAGGTATGTTACATATGCTTGCACAAGTATCTGCTGATGTGATTCCGAGAATGTTTTTACTGTTACGTTGCGGGAAAACAGCAGAACGCTGACAGAGGATTACGTGTTGAGACTTCGGGTCTCGTCGGCATACCACCGTTGGGCTATGGTGCTCCTCTGTTGCTACTATATTTTCCACCTCTTCCCTTTCTCTCTTCTCTACTGTAGATCAACAAAGTTATTGTTCATCTTCTCGAACAAGCAACGGCCGACTACACATGCAACCTCATATGTCGCAAACCACGGGCAAGCTGCACCGCGGGCAGTTGTCAATATCACCGAGAGTTCTGCAAATGCGTAAATTGAAGGATTCCTTCTGCAAGTGGCACGTGAAAGATAGGATTCCATTTGCATTTACGTTCGAGCACAATTCTACCGTTGTCGGTTGGGATCATCGACCCGACCAAACCGAGATTCACATCCTCACCCTGACGTGTGTATGCACTTGACAGTGATTGCCCCCACACGGAGTGTGTCCCCATCCTTGACCGTGCGAGTCGCGCCCTGGACTCTATCGATTTCGCCCCCCACGATCTCCAGTCCGGTAATTCGGCGGGCGATGGCATTATTTCCCCCGGCATGGTCGTGGTGCTTGTGCGTGGTGAGTACCTTGCTGATCGTCAGTCCCTGGTCATTGGCCACTTTGAGCACCTGTAGAGGCAGGAAATTAAAATTGGCCACGGTCAGCAGGCATTTCTTTACTGTCGTACACACTAGACTGGGCCTGTGCACGGTGCCGGGAAGCTGTGGCGTATCTCCACACATGAACACACCGTTCAACCTCGTGGCGAGAGAGAGCATATATTGTTGCACGTGGTTCGACCGGCTCATTCAGCGTGTGTGCATTTTCATGCACAAAAAATTGATAACGAAAACTTCTGTACTATGGCGGCTACAACGGAAGATCATCGATACAAACAAGAGAACGTACGAATTGAAAATCAGAGAGTTGACATCGCTTCCCGCTGCCATGATAAAACATGGTATCCGTGACCAGGTAATTTACCGCAGCAGTGCACGGATGACAAGGGCTGCTGTATTCCGCCTATCCTACAGCCACCACTGCTGTGGAACTAATAAGGAAATAGCGCACCCTAGGGTCACACTTGACATGCAAACTACAATAAATGTGTGGACATTCATTGTAGAAGTAAGATCGGCTCGGTGTCTTGAATCTGTAGTAGCACGGACGGGATAATCTTCGTGCCGCCGGTCAAACCTGTAAGGAAACAACCCGCCCTGCTGCCACGGTATAACGGGCACGGTCCGATTTGGATCGATGCCGAACATGTCTACCGAGAAGATACGCACCACAACTGCAGGAGTACTGACCCCTATGCGAAAGCTGGGATGTTTGAACACCGGCGATGCGCTAGACTGTCTAAAACATTGATACAAAGCTTTCGTCGTTGTCAGCTTCATGAATCATGAACATACCTTGTCAGCCTCAGCCGGATCAACAGCTGCTGTTACGCCCGCTGCATCGGAAAGCAAGTAGGCGAAGTTGTCATCCAGTACTGGCACAACGATGACCTTCATCGTACTTTGGCGGGCGAGGTAGAGACAGAGCGAGAAAAGCGAGACAATGGTGGATGATCATCACGATCAGCCATGCCGCGATCGGGCCAGCACGAGGGGTTACGCAGAGTGCCAAGCATGGGGTTGCATGAACACATCGTCTCTGATTTATACTGTAGCGGCGCTCATTGCAGGGCGCGTTAATACGTACCCCATTGCACCTACCCACATTCTACTAGCTCACGGCTCTCTACTGTTGTGGTGTGGATGGGCATCGGCGGCGTATTTCTCTCCATCACGGGAGGGTTCGCATAGCCTCCATGTTTCATCGCCTCGATGTCTTCTATGGCAGTGAAACCGGGACGGCACAGGTACGATCAGAGCAACGTGTTCCAGGAAAAAACAAAAACAGGAGACGGCGGGACTGTCGACTTTATGGTTCAATATGAGATTGTGGGTGCACTGGTACCAGTGGGATGTAGGGTGCTCCAAGGCGACCGGACTGCCATGTCTGCGTGGACATCGACAGCCATGAATCTTCGAGGAACACGGCAGGGGTGATCCTACAGTAGTCTCACTGCTGCCTTCACCTGTCTGTCTACTGCCGTGCACTGGCTCTGCCGTTTTACGGTAATCCTACAGCTGTAGTAGTCTGTCTCACTGCTGCCTTCACCTTACTGTCTACTGCCGTGCACTGGCTCTGCCGTTTTACGGAGCAATGTGTCGGTACAGAAATGTATGTAGCTCACTGCTGCGTGCATCACCTTCTACTTGTTGTATGCTTGCTCTCCCAAATGTTAGGAGGTCGCCGAGTACGTTGCAGCCATGGCGGGGCGACGGGGGTTCGACACGGCTGCGGCGTCACTTGATTCCGTTCCCATTTCGCAAGCGTTAGAGTGCTCTCTGGCCGTGTTCGTCGTGAGCACCACCGGAGACGGGGATGTGCCGAACAACATGTCGACGTTTTGGCGATTTCTCCTGCGAAGGTGGGTGCGTCCAACTTTTTCGGAGGCCCACGAGACCACGAGTGGGCAAACATATCGTTTTTCGCACAAGTTCTGGACCATGGGCGAGTCGCTGCCCTGCGCACTGCCGCAATTCCCTTATTTTTTACCGCCGGCGGCTCTGCGTTTGCTGTACACTTGTACCGTGCTCGATCGTTGTGTTGGAATTCAGGGGCTTGCCGAAGGACTGCTTGGCGAGCATGCGTTTTGCCATTTTTGGTCTGGGAGACAGCGGCTACACCAAGTACAACGCCACCGCGAGGAAGCTGCACGCGCGCTTGTTACAGCTGGGCGCCGTTGAGCTGGTGAGTTTTTGTCTGTTGGCACCACCTTCGAAGAAGACCTGCAAAGGTCTTGCAAGTAGAAGACGATGCCGGCTTTGACGAAGTATGATACCCCAGAAAGCGAGCAGGCTGGTCGGGACTCACCGCTGTAATCTTCGGCCTTCCCATATCCTCTACTGCAGTTGAGCTCCCCCACGATCATGCTAAGGGGTATGTGCCGCCAACGCCAAACCTAGTTCGCCCTCGGAGAACGCCCTTGGTTTTGTGCTACTTGTCGATGTGGCGTTCGTGGTGCACTAGCCTAGCCGCGAAACCAGTTTTACACCACCGTCACCGGGAACCAGGTGGAACGAGGTCTGGGCGACGACCAAAGCCCTAGGGGAATGTGGGGAGACCTCGACCCGTGGCTGGCCTCCCTATGGGCAGGTCTCCTACAAATCAAACCTCTTCCTGAAGGAACGGTGGTAGATGACACCCCTCGCCTCGAGCCGCCCGTGTTCAGCATGATTCCTGTTGAGGCTCCTGACAGCTCCCCCGCAGGTACGGTGTTGTGTTGTGCGTACCGGGTTCAAACCTTTTTTTTTCTTGTTGTCTGGGAATGGGACGATGACTACGTTACAGCAAGGGATTCGTGGAATGACATCCCGGGCCGGGGTGGAGGAACGTGTTCTATCAGCAACGGTTTTGGACAATGTCTGGACGTATTCGCGTCCACACACTTGGTGACTGGTGTGACCACGACCAGGCAACAAGGGGGTGGGAGAACACAGGGGGGGGGAGGCAGACAGAACGGGGAACAGATACAGAGATGATGGAGGACAAAGAGGCATCGAGAGAGAGAGATGCTTTGAGACGGGGCGCTGTCATTGGTCTGAAGGCCGCGTTATCTGGAGTAGGGCATCATCCTTAGCGGCGTGCCAGCACTCCTATCGTCGTTACCCTCTTCCCTTGCCTGTCCAGGTTGCGGTGTTTTTAGAGGTTTAAACAGCGCCTGAAAGCGCAAGGCCTTGGAACTACCGGCGGCATACTTATCCCTCTCCTAGCTCGGCTTTTTCAAAAACCTCAGCTCTTGTCTCAGCCTCGCCAGTCTCACAGTCGAACGAGCTCCCGGAAACCTCCTGCCTGGTGTAAAGAGTGTTTTCGTTGTTTTGTCGCGAGGCATCCAGAAGTCTACCCAAAGCGGCTCATCTAGGGCCATCTGGAGAGGTCGTCGCCAGCGCCGGCGAGACGCTGTTTGGAGCTGTCGAGGTGTTTCGAGCTATCCTGTTGCTGTCCACGCCACAAATTCACTCCCTCGGAACCGACTAGGTATCGTTACTTTTGACTTCCCTCCGACTACCCGCGCCTCCTTATACACGGGAACCACATCCTACTTCCAGAGATCGAGGCAGGGAGGCGCGGATTCTGGGATTCCATGGCCCCACCGAGGCCAGCCAAGCTCAGCGACGGAGCACCCGCTCCGGCCCGGCTGCTTGTGAACCGTAGGTGAGCCTTCCGCCGCCTGCCTAGCGGGCAACCTGCGCTCGGACACCGGGTATGGAGTACAACCAAACGTGGTATGTACAGGAGGGGGCGGGCGGAAGAACATCAGATGAAGGGTGAATACCGTATCCACTTGTGACGTAAGGGGAGTGAAGTCATGCCACGGTGCGGGGGGTCGTTGGCGTTAAAGCTATGCAACCTAGGACATGTTGAGAGCCTTGATCGTATCATGAGCTTTGCCCGTATGCCCACGGCCGGGCGCGTAAGATCGTGCGAAGGGATTTGTTTCATTTTTCGTCCTTGAAGTCCTTCTACTGTCATTGGTGGACTGCCGTGAGGGTGTGGACCTGAGCTTTGCTCGACTGTCGCGGTACGGTTGCACGTGTGGTGGAGCGTGATTCCCCCGTTTTCCTCCCCAGCTTGCAGTACCTCTGTGGTTAATTGATCATCTGTCAACGTTAACGTATACCCAGGGGAAATGATACGTGGCTCCCTTGGAAAGGTTTCCCACGCCTTTCAATTTTTTTTTTTCCAGCGTGTCATCTCTCTCCATCAGCTTGTGGAACCCGCTAGGATCAAGTCAACCATTTGGCAGTCTGGTGTCCTATTTATAATGCAATTCTATCTGTATTCTCCGATTGTCCCCTGTTCACGACCTACATCCATATGCATGAACGAAGCTCACCAATGGTGCCCACGTCCGACCCACAAATCCGATCTTTCCTACACTTCTTGTTCTCGTGTAAACACCTTGCGCTCGTCTCGCGGCTGTTGCTGTGCGAGTCTTGTCGGCGAGACTCCACCGGTTCTTCTTTCAGGTGTTTGTTTTGTATACATTGGGGTACATGTACAATATCTACCCCCCAAGAATATCTTGCGAAGGCGTGTACAGTCAAGATTATCCGCCCCCCATCCTCACGCCGCTGCTGCCACGACACCGCAACAGACTGGCCGCTGAAGGACATTTCCAAGACGTCCGACATCTGGAGTTCGATGTTAGTGGTGTTCCAGGAGGGGCGAGTTACGAGGCCGGAGACGTTGCATGGATTCATCCATCCAACAACGCATCGGCGGTGGAAACGTTAGCTGTGGCGATGGGCCTAGATTTGGACCAAGTTGTGCGCATCGCTCCCGCCCTTCCTCCGCCGAAGCCGGGGACGGCGGCCGCGCCGGTGGCTGTTGCAGAAGTAACACAGCCGCCCGGGGCGGGTGTGTCCGCGACAGCTGCAGTCCGACCTCGGCGACAACAGCGGCGTGACCCGCAACAAGCAGGCTTCTTCTTGCCTCCAGTGTCCACGCTACGGCTCCTGCTAACGGAGGTACTTGACATCTCGGGAACTCCACGGCGCTCCTTCTTCGAGCGCTTATCTGTCTTCGCCACCGAAGACGAGGAGAAGGAAAAGCTGGAGGAGCTTGCGTCTCCGGCAGGGGCGGACTTGTTGTACGAGTACGCTACGAGAGAAAAACGCAGCTATGTTGAGGTCTTCGGAGATTTCCCGTCCTGCAAGGTGGACAGGATAACTATTAGGCACATGGTTCAGTTCCATACCTCTCGACCTTTGTACAGGCAACCTTGTGTATGGCAGTGCCACATCTAACGTGAAAAAAGTGTAGAAGTAACGCTAGCAGTAGCAACAGCAGCAGCAGCAGCAGCAGCAGCAGGGGAAATGCACAGTTAAAGGGTGACACCCGCACATACTGTACAGTACATGGCAGATCCATGATTTCAGCTTTCAAGGGTCAGATACGAAATAAGATCAAAGAAATGCTCGCCTACCCATGCCGCAGGTTCCTCCGGAGAGGCTGCTAGAGCTAGTTCCAAGGCTACGCCCCCGAGGATTTTCCATCGCGTCGTCGGCGCTGGAAACGCCTTCCCAGGTGCACCTTTGCATGGCGGTCGTGTCTTTCCGGTGAGCACTGCTGTTGGAAAGATTTTTTTGACTGTGCCGGCTTGGTTTGTTTTCCCCTGCATCACACACCTTGACATTCCCAACACTTCTTGGTGAATACATCGGCTGACGTTTTTTTTCCCGTTTTTCGGGGGTCTTTATCAGCTGAATGCTGTCGCTATCTGGCGCCAAGCGGACAGTCTCTACGCGAGGATTGGTCTCTCGAATAGTGGGAACGTTCCGAACAGTTCCAACCTGGTGCCGTTGGACCACGTCGGTTTATCCAGTACCACGTGATCAGGGTTGAACTCACTACTCGGTTATCGAGTGGGTACGAAAAGGGAATATATGGACACAGCATATTAGGGTGATGCACGGGGCCAGAACAGGGAATTTGGGCACACATCACATTGAGGTGACACACGGGGCCACCTGCGGCACCGCCGGGCGACCCTCTTGGGGTGCACATCCTTCAAAGTAGTGTTGTGCGGTATATGATTGCTAGGGTTAGATGCTCGGCAGTGGTGACAGAAATTCCATCCGAAGAAGCTAGTCTCACGGTCCCCTGGTGGGCTCCGCAAATCGTGTAGCCGACCCTTCTCCAGCCAAACTCCTCGGGTATTGTGTCAACAACCGCCCACTCCTTCCTTATCAGCACCCCGTACAAGCGGTTGCGAACGGGCGTTTGTTCAAGCTGGCTAGCCTCCCTCACGCCAGGAGCAGCGGAGGTGAGTCAGGTCTTCGCGTCACCTTCTCGGATCTGATGTATTTCTTCGTACACACAAATAGTACAGATATTTGCTGCAAGCAACCAGCATGAGTTTTGAGTCTAAACGACGACTAATAGCACCTTCCCAATGCATACCAACCCTCACCTCTTTTGGCGGATAGAGTCCAAGCTTAGGGTCGATCGCTGGTGATAACGGCAACACTGCGCAAGAACCGCCAACTCCCCGCATGTTCGTCCGCGTGTCTGCCCCTACAGAGTACAACATGAATGAGTGCAGGCACATATTTTTCTTCTACGTTCGCGTGCAGATCTACACCCGCTGAGGTGTTTAGTGTCAAAGCGATTTTTTTGTGAAGCGTAAGCGTCACTGAGTTCCTCTTCCAAGGAATCATTTCTCTTTCACTCTGGGTACTTCCCCGATACATTCTGGCTTTGAGTTCGGAGCAGGGTCAGGCAGACGGATGCCTGATGAAGGTGTGGTGCCCGAGAATAGTTGACCGGAGCAAAGATGGTTTGAGTCCCGCTTCCAAGGATTTGTTTCTCATCCTCGTCTAAATATTGTCCCCGGCACGCCCTGAAAATTAGGTTCTCCGAACTGTACGAATCGTTTCCACCACAATTAGTCCGAAGTGAATCATTTCAGATCCACTCCCAAACCCTGATACTCAAGTCTACCGCAGTTTCAGTGTCACCCCCCCCCCCCCCCCCCC